TCCTAGCTAGTATTTTATTTAGAATTTTTGCATCTATATTTATTAGTGAAATTGGTCTATAATTTCTATTTTCACTCTTCCTGGATTAGGTATCAACACCGTATTTGTTTCACAAAAAGAGTTTGGTAAGACTCTTATTGCCTATTATTCCAAATTATTTAATATTGAAATTAATTGATCTTTAAATGCTTCTTGTAAATCCATCTGGTTCTGATGCTTTTTTTCTTAGACAGCTCTATAGCTTGATTTCGTTTTCTAAAATAAATGTATTTAGATATTTTATTTCAACCCTTCTGTTAATCTGGGCAGTTTATGTTTTTACAAGTATTCTCCCATTTCACTTAAATTGTTAAATTTATTGGCATATAATCGGGCAAAATAATTCCTAATAATTGGTTTAATTTTACCTTCACTGGTGAATTCACCCTTTTCATTTTTGATACTAGTGATTTGATTTTCTTCTCTCTTTTTTTAAAATCATGTTAATCAATGGTTTATCTATTTTATAATTTCATTAATTTTTTTATTTCAATTTTATTAATTTCTCCTTTGATTTTCAGGATTTCCAATTTGGTGTTTAATTGGGGATTTTTAATTTGTTCTTTTCCTGGTTTTTTAGCTGCATACCCAATTCACTGATGTGCTTTCTCTATTTTATTGATGTAAGCATTTAGAGATACCAATTTTTCCCTAAGTACTGCTTTGGCTGCATATCATAAATTTTGGTATATTGTCTCATTGTCATTCTCTTTAATGAAATTATTGATTGTTTCTATGATCTGTTCTTTGACCCACGCATTCTTTAGGATTAGAATACTTAGTTGCCAATTAATTTTAATCTATGTTTCCATGGCCCTTTACTGAATACAATTTTTATTGTACTGTGGTCTTAAAAGAATACATTTAATATTTCTGTTTTTCTGCATTTGGTTGTGAAGTTTTTATACTCTAATACACAGTCAATTTTTGTAAAGGTACAGTTGGAAAAAAAAGTATACTCCTTTTTATTCCCATTCAGTTTTCTCCAGAGGTCTATTATATTTAACTTTTCTAAAACTCTATTCACCTTCCTTAATTTCTTTATTTTATAGTTAGACAGTTCTGAGAGGGGAAAGCTGATGCCCTCCACTGGTATGGCTTTACTATCTATTTACTCCTCTAACTCATTTAACTTTTCCTTTTAAAATTTGAATGCTATGCCATTTGGTGCATGTGACTAGCATTGGTATTATTTCATTATCTATTGTGTCTTTCAGCAAAATGTATTTTCCCTCCTTTAATTTCAATCTATTTTTGCTTTGCCTCTGATCATGATTGCAATCTTCTGTTTTGTTTTGGTTTTTAAATGTTTTTGAAACCTCAGCTGAAACATAATAGATTCTGCTCTAGTTCCTATTTATACTGTATGTCTCTCTCTGTTTCAAGTGTGTTTCTTATAAACAACATATTGTTGAATTCTGGTTTTTAATACCTTCTAATACCTGCTTCCATTTTATAGGTTAGTTCATCCCATTCGCTGTTATGATTACTAAACTCTGTATTTCCCTCCATCCTATTTTCCTTGCTTATTTTTCCCTCTTTTTACCCTGTTCCTTCTCAAACGTCTATTTTGCTTCTAATTACTGCCTCCTTCAATCTGCCCTCCCTTCTGTCAGCTCTCCCTCTTCTTTTATTCCCTTCACCTTCTATTTCTCTGTTGGGTAAGACAGATTTTTATACCCGAGTTTGTATGTTATTCCTTCTTTAAGCCAATTCTGATGAATAAAGTTCAAGCACTGTCTGCCACCACCACCACCCCATCTTCTCCTCCACTGTAAAAGCTCTTCCTTGCCTATCTCTTTTATGTGAGAGAATTTTCCCCACTCTACCTCTCTCCCCCTTCTCCCAGTGTATCTATCTTTCTCACCCCCTAATATTATTTTTTTGGAAAACACCCCATCATAATCAACTCACATCCCCTCTGTCTATATATATACTCTTTCTAACTGCCCTAATAATGAGAAAGTTCTTCCCATGTAGGAATGTAAAATAAATTTAATCTTATTGAATCCCTTATAATTTTTCATGTTTACCTTTTTATGCTTCTCTTAAGCCTTGTATGTGAAAGTCAATTTTTCTGTTCAGTGCTGGTCTCTTCATCAGGAATACTTGAATGTGTGAAAGTCTTCTATTTCATTAAATACCCATGTTTCCCCCTGAAGGATTATATTGAGTTTTGTTGGTAAGTAATCTTTGGTTGTAATCCTAGCTTCTTTGCCTTCCAGAATATCATATTCTAAGCCCTCTCACCCTTTAATGTAGAAGCTGTTAAATCTTGTGTTATCCTGACTATGACTCCACAATATCTGAACTGTTTCTTTCTGACTGCTTACAATATTTTCTCCTTGATCTAGGAGCTCTAGAAATTTGTCTATAATCTTCCTGGAAGTTTTCATTTTGGGATCTCTTTCAGGAAGTGATCAATAGATTCTTTCAATTTCTAATTTTATCCTGTAGTTCTAGGATATCAGAGCAGTTTTCCTTGATGATTTCTTGAAATATGACATCTAAATCCTTTTTTAAATTATGGCTTTCAAGTGGTCCAATAATTCTTAAATTTTCTCTCCTTGATCTATTTTCCAGATCACTTGTTTTGCCAATGAGATATTTCTAATTTTCTTCCATTTTTCTCATTCTTTTGATTTTGTTTTATTGTTTCTTGATGTCTATGGAGTCATTAACTTCCACTTGCCCACTTGTAATTTTTAACAGAATTATTTTCTTCAGTGAGCTTTTGAAACTCTTTTTCCATTTGGTCAATTCTACTTTTTAAGGAGTTCTCTTCAGTGGATTTTTGTACTTCTTTTACTGTTTGATAAACTCTTTTTTTTTAAGGTGTTATTTTCTTCAGTATTTTTCATGCCTTTTACCAAGCTGTTAATTCTCTTTTCGTTATTTTCTAGCAACACTCTCATTTCTTTTCTCAACTTTTCCTCTACCTCTCTGATTTTTAAAATCCATTTGGTGCTCTTCCAGAAATTCTTATTGGGCTTTTATCCAATTCACATTTTTCTTTGAGAATTTGCTTGTACCTGTTTTTATATCTTGTCTTCTGAATTTGTCTTGTTCTTCCCAGTCCTCAATGTAATTTTTTGTGCTCAGGTTCTTTTTTTTGTTGTTTGCTCATTTTTCCAGCCTATTTTGACTTTTAACTTTATGTTAAAGTTGAATCTCTAATCTTAGGGTGGAGAAGGCACTGTCCCAATCTTCTGGTTTTTCATGATGCTGTTTTCTGGAGGTCTGTAAGATTTCAGTGTATTCGAGGTAGTACAATCTCGGCGTGTGCTCTGGTCTTTACCCAGGAAGGAGCCTTGTTCCCCTGCAGCCACAAGTGCTAATATTCCTGTTGGAAGGACCTTGTTTCCAACAAGATAAAATTTCAAGTTGCTGAGGTTTGCCTAGCTAAAAATGTATGTTCATCAATTATTTTCTTCTTTGGTTTAACACATTTCCTGGAGGTAAGTAATACGACTGCTTTAGTTCTCTGTATTATTTATACATCATACTCATTATTAACCCATAAAGGGTTGATCTGGAGAATTTTCTAATCATCTCATTAACTTAGAGAGCAGTTAAACCTTTATTTCAAAAACTTTGCGTTATCCACACTTCTCCTTATTAGACAGGGATATGCCTGTTAGCACTTTTTTAATCAGACAAAACACAACTCCTAAACCTCAATAACTTTAAGATGAATTAGTTGCTTTAAAGATGCCCCTTGGTGTGTTCCAGGAGAAGGAATTTAGTAAAATGGACTAGGATAATCTGTTCAGTTTAAACAATTTTAACCTTTTTGTATCATGGACCCCCTTTTGGCATTCTGGCAAAGCCTATGTTTTTAAATACATAAAATAAAATATATAAGACTACTAAGAAAACCAATTATACTGAAATATAGTTATCATCAAAATACTAAAAGTTCTAAGTTCACAGACCCCCCCCCGAAATCTATTCACAGAACCCCTTGAGGTCTGAGAAACCCAGATTAAAAACCCCTGGTATAGAGTTGGAAACACTCAAAGACAGTGAAATTACAGGAGTATCCACCAGGGGGAAGTGTGCTGACTACCTTTGGGCTACTTACTATGAGTACTTTGTGTTCAAGGTAGAGTAATGAACTCCTACCCCCATGTGAGTTAGGCAAATGTTTCTTTAAAAGATACTGAGACCATCCTCAAGATTTGGTTTTGTGAAGGGACTATGGGCTCAAGCTGTTTCCTCCAGCATGACATAAAAAGCCACGTTTCAGGTACTATCCTTGATTCTTGGTTGATGGACCAAAATGGGTATCTAGGGGAAGGAAGTTTTGCTCAACTGAATCAATGTGAACTGACCTCAATATTCATCACTGTTGAATATCCTTCTCCTGCTTTTTTTTCCCTAAATATCCTTTTAACTTTTGACTTCGGAATGTCTCATTTATTCTAATATCCAACCTAAACTACCAAAAGTCTAGCCTGACTCAAGCCCAGCCCAGAACACTGCAGTTTTTCATATGTTCATGGGATCCTATGAGTTCTGTACACCTTCTGCATTTTCTGTGGAATAAAATAAAGATGTCCTCTATCTTACATGCATTTTTTACTTTCAATATTTGTATAGGATTTAGGGAATCATTCACGTCTGTAAAAACCTATAAATGAACTATACATAAACTATATTTGGAGATTTCTCAGAATAAACTCTGGGGTGGGTTATTAGAAGCCAGGAACAGACAACGAAATTTTTGGCCCCCAAGGTCAGATCCAGTACATGTCAACTCAGAGCTCTGGGCATCCTGAGCCATGGGTTATATTTTAAAGACCAACATTTTGCTAATATCTCTACAAAACATCTAACTAGCCTATGTTACTCTTTGCACTTACATAGTATCTCACCAATCTCAAATCAACCATTAAACATTCACACTCTTACTATCGGAGAGGAGAACTATGATCCTCACTCTGTAATTTGTTGCTTACCTCAGGGCTTCTTTGGTCTTCACTGGCAGACCTGTATATGGATTTACAGGTTTGAGAAGCTGAGTTACAGCTGTTTTTCCGGCTGCTATTTGTTTCACAATATATTTTTTCTTCCAGTATCCAGTTTCTTTGTCATGAAGTGATGTATGACTCAAAGATACAGCTGTCTTCTCTACTGCATTCATTTCCCAATTTGATCTCTTAGGTGAAAAAGAAGCGGAGTAGATTCTGAACCAAATAAAACTGGGAAAAATTAAAGAAAATAAATGTTAAGTGCCCTTTTCCTATTAGTAGTGGTAATCAAGCAAGGAGGCCCTGTGATATTCAAAATGATTACTGAGAACCAAGAACAAACCCACAGTAATTGAGTCACCTAAGATATTCATCAGATCATAATTTTAGAGCTAAAAAGGTTCTTAGATATCTTCTGATCCAACCCCCTCATTTTGTAGGTAAGAAAACTAAGACCTACAGAAGTGAATTGCCCAAGGTTACACAAGCATAATAGTAGAACAGTTCCTCTTATTCCAAATCCAGCATTCTTTCCACTAAATCACAATTAAATCCTCCAATGAATAAGCAAGCTTTCATCAAAGTAGGGCTTCTTAAACTTTTTCCACTGACGACCCCTTCAGCACTTCTTAAATTGCAGATAGCGACTCACAGTTTAGGAAGTGCTGCAGTAAAGCACCAACAAATACAAAATTTTAAGTCTATTTCCTCAAGGAACTTATATTTGATAGAGGAGACATTCACATATAGATATGCAAACACACATACTAATCAAATATAAGGTAATCTTGGAAGAGAAAAGTAGTACTTGGGGATACCGTGAACAGCCTTCTTATAGTAGGTAATTCTTGACATGAATATCAAAGGACAGTAGGAATTCCAGGAGGTATAGGGGAATTCCAGCATGGGGGAAAACCAGTGCAAAGACATGAAGATGAGACATGGTACATCATGTAAAAGGAAGATACAGTAGGTTAGCATGACTGGACTGTGGAGAATGTGGAATGGAGTGATATCTAAGTAGACTAGAAAAGTAGAAAGAGACAAAGTTGTGAAGAATTTTAAATGCCAAACAGAAAATATTTGATCCAAGAGAAAATGTGGAGCCACTGGAGCTTACTTAGTAGTGTGGTGACATGCTCAGATCTGTATCTTAGCAAAATCACTTCAGCACTTCAGGAGGAGGGACTGGATGAAGGAAGAGATCCAAAGGAGGAAGACCAAATTGGAAGCTATTGCAATTGTCCCGAGAGATGAAAGTCAGCCCTGAATAGTAGCTAGAGCACTGGATTCAAAGTCAGAACAAGCTAGGTTTAAATCATACCTCTGACACTCCGAACTTCAAACAACTTTCCAAAACTTACTGCCTACCTTAGCAATAAATTGCAATTTACACAGGTGGAAGAAGTTCCTACACTGATAAAATCATAGATCACAGCCTGATTAAAGGCAGAAAAAAAATGTTAAAAGAAATTAAGACTTTGCATTACAAAAAAAAATAACTACAACATGTAGACAATGATAAATTCACAGAACCTCACTTTTCTTAGTATCAATGCTAGTTATGGTCTTAGCAATGGATTTTCCTATAATATATCAAGATATAAATTATCACAACATTGAAGGAAAAGGATCATTGGTTTGTTACTGAAGGCGTAAAGGAAAAAAGCAGGGGAACTCAACAAAAAAAAATCTTTCTGGAGTGTGGGAGGGGAGTACAATTCCTGCTTTATTACTGAACTTCGGAGAAATTTTCTGTTTTTACTGAAAAGGGAAAATAGTTTAGATTATAAATTTTTTTTAAATGAAGTGCAGTCTTTAAACACTGGAGGTACTCAATAAATGTTTAATTCAGTTAAATCATAAACTGCTGTTTGTTTTTTTCTGATATGAAAACTTTCTCCAACAATTCAAGTAACTCATCTTACCTTAGTCTTCAAAAATTTCCTGCAGTACTGAGAGTCTGAGTGACTTTTCCATGACCCCACAACATACATTTCAGAAGTAAGATTTAAATCCAGACTGCAAAACTCATCCTCTTGTCATACTGTCCCTCTACTCACTTAAAATGATTTCTAAAAACTTAATCTTCTCCCACCTGGCTAAACTCTTATGGACTTTCATCAGGCTCCCTGAAATCTCATCATCCTGCATGACCACATTAACCCTGAAATTCATACCTCCACAGCACTCATTGCCCTTGGGGTCCCTTCTCTCCCTCTGACTGAAGAGGGTACAAAGTGGCCAGATGAGAGCTCTCCCCAGACTCTCCATTTAAGGAGGGCACCCAGAGCAACCATCTCATCATTTTTTACCCAGGTGCACTCCTCTGGACTTTGATTATGTGCCTGAGCCAAGTATCCAACTCTCCCAAAACCTGACTTTTCAGCTTCCTCTTATGTATTTTCTTCCCCCATTAGATCCCCCTCGAAGGCAAGGACTGCCTTTTGCTTTGTATTCTCAGTGCTTATCACAGTACCTGGCACACAGGAGACACTTATTGGTATTTGCTGACTTAACAGGCTATGAAATAGGAAGTTATACAGGAAACTACAGTATCAGATCATTATAATTCCCACAGACTAAAGAAGTAAATTGATAGGTTCTCATCTCCTGCCAGCCCTCAAAGGTCTAGGAACAAACCATACAGTGGCAATAGAATCCATTGAAGAACAAGCTGGTTTTCAAAGACGCAGAGGAACTAGAGACAAAATTGCCAACATTCACTGGATTATGGAGAAAGCAAGGGAGTTCCAGAAAAACCATCTACTTCTGCTTCACTGACTACACTAAAGCCTTTGACTATGTGGATCACAACAAAATGTGTCAAGTCCTAAGAGACATGGGAGTCAAATCATCTTACTTGTCTCGTATGTAGGCCAAGAAGCAAGTCAGAACCGAAGATGGAATAACCATCGGTTTAAGATTAGAAAAGGAGTATGACAAGGCTATATATTATCACCTTATTTAACTTATTTGCAGAGAACATCATGCAAAATACTAGGCTGGATGAATCAAAAGCCAGAATTAAGGTTGCCAAGAGAAATATCAACAATCTCAGATATACGGGTCCATGGAGTCACAGAGTCAGACAAGACTGAATGACTGAACAACAATGTGGGAAAACTGGAAAGGAGTTTATGGGAAATTAGGTTTAGATCAACATTTTATGCTACATGCTAAAACAGGCTCAAAATGGATCCTTAATTTGAATATAAAAGGTCACACCACAAAGAATGAGGAGAGAATAAAATCAAATACCTTTCCCAATTCTGGCAAAAGGGAAATTTCTTAACTAAAGAAAAGACAAAAGATACCACAAGATAAAAAACAATTACATGAAAACTGAAAAGCTTTTTTGCACAAGCAAAATCAATGCAGCAAAAATAAGAAAGGAAACAATTTAGAAAAAAAATCTTTGCATCAAATCTCTTTGTTAGGGGCTACACACAAAATTTAGAGAGAATTAAAAAATATATAAAGCAGAAACATCCTCCCCTTAGATAACTGTTCATGAAAATGAAGAAAGAGTTCCCCTAAGAACTAAAAACTACTAACTATAAGAAATGCTGCTCCAAATCACTAAGAAATGAAAATCAATTCAAAACAACCCTGAGTTTTCACCTCACCAGTAAATCTGAAAAGATATGAAAAGTCAGTGTTAAAAGGTCTATCAGAGACTAGCCCACTATGAAACTGTGAACTTGTTCAACCATTCTGTAAAGCAATTTGGAATCATGCTCAAAAAATGACTGACATGTCCACACTATTTGACCCAGTGATCCCAATGTTAGATATATACCCCAGGGAGGTCAAAAGTAAAAAGTTTCCACGTACAAATTTTCAAAGCAGCATTTTTCTGTGGTAGCAAAGATCCAGAAACATAATGCACACATTGACAGGGGAATGGCTAAACAAACTATGGGCAATTACTGTAACAAAATCAGAAAGGTTTACATGAAGTAAGCAGAACCAGGAAAACAATATATGCAATAATTACAATAATGCAAAATTTTTTAAAGAAACTGAATACTATCTAACTATGACAACCAGTCTTGGCCCCAAAGAAGAGCTGGAAAATGTACCTCCCTCCCTTCACTGTATATGTGGCAGACTATGGGTGTGGAATATTACATATACTATCAGGCATAGTCAATATATTGGTTAGTTTTGCTGACTTGATTTTTTCCCCTTTTTCATGTGTTAATGTTTGTTAAAAGGTCAGCTTATTGAGTAGACTAGGAGGAGGGATATATTTAGAAATGAATGTAGTATAAAAACAAAGCCATCAAGAAAGTTTTCTTTTAAAAAATTTAAATAAAAAATTCAATGATCTCAAAACAATCAAAATTTTAGGCAAAGGAAATGGAAAAGCACATGATGGTTGCCTGTAGGCTATAAAACACTCAACAATGATGACTTGCCCACAAGAAGTAGGTATAAATACAATTGCCAAGGTCAGACATGATCAGAAAAAAAGGGGCAGGCAAACTATATAATAAAACAAAACTAAACTAAAAAAAGGGGGGGGGGGGAGCTGGAAAGGCTAACCAAAAGAAAAATAATGACAGTGCTAGACTGGCAACCACTAAATATTAAAAGAACCATCTGAAGGCCTCAAACAGTTTCTGTATAAAATATGCAATAAGACATAGACCAATATGCCACATGAGAAAACATGGAGGACAAAAGACCTGTCTAGGAAGAAGTTACCCAATGAAATCACAAATCTCTCAAAGCACTGAAGAAACTTCACTAAGGAAAAAAGAAAAAGGCTTTAAAGTAAACAGAGGTATTTGAGCAAAAATATAAGACCCTGGAAAGACTACGATGTTATGATATTTTCTTCTCTAAAATCTTTGAAAATGGATTCTCTTTCTCCCTGTCCCAAGTGAAGAGACCACTGTTCTCTTTTCTTACATGTTTACTTTATAATTAAAAAGGCACAAGATTTATCTTTTTAAATTTCTTACATTGGGGCCCCAGACCAAAAATGCACTAACCTAAAAGTTATCTTTTAAAAAGATCAGATAACATTTAGACTTCTCCAGATAATTTGTTTCTATGTTAGCTAATCTGACAGGTGTGATGTGGTACCTCAGAGTCATTTTGATTTGCATTTCTCTAATCAACAGTGATTTAGAGCATTTTTTCATATGACCATAGATAGCTTTAATTTCTTCATCTGAAAACTGTCTGTTCATATCCTTTGACCATTTATCAGTTGGGGA